TTCAAACTCGGTCAACACTACACATTTTTAAAAGTCGAATGACTGAGCAATTTTTTTTTTCATTTTCGAGCAGATACTTGGGGTACATTTACTCACTCTATGAGTAACCTTCATTTTTACGACTTTGAGTGAACGGAACTAAACAATTTTTATTTGGATTTAACGGCGGTGTGTCTGATGGCACTTTAATATTATTTCACAGATTTCTGAGAAATTTTACCACAATATCAACATCTTAAAGTTCAGTAAACAGTTCAGTGATTTTTTAATAGATTTCCAGTAATTTTTCACAGAATATCAAGCTGTTTAGATTTCGGTAAAATTTCACAGTGGCTTCCCTTCCCTTCACAATTTTGGGGCTTCCCTTAGCTCAGTCGGTAAAGGCGCAGCTACAAAGCAAGACCATGCTGGAGGCGGCTGGGTTCGATTCCCGGTCCGGTCTAGGAATTTTTCGGGTTGGAAAATTTCTCGACTTCCCTGGGCATAGAAGTATGATTGGACTTGCCACACAATCATGTCAATGCAAAAATGGTACAGGCATCGAAAGCTCTCAATTAATAACTGTGGAAGTGCATCTAGAACACTAAGTTGAGAGCACGCAATAAGCGAATATGCGATATGCAATAAGCTTAAAATTCGAAGAAGAAGAAGAAGAAGAAGAAGAAGAAGAAGAAGAAGAAAATTTCACAGAAAACTAAATCTGGCTGAAATAAGCTTAGTAAATGAGGCTGAAAGAATTGATTACTAGGTACAAATTGGAGATAAGTTGCTTCAATTCTAGGTTTAGAAATGGGCCGAGTTTACATCCCGCTACCCTACGGGATCTATCTATTAGTTTTCCAACCAGAAATGAACAGAGTGGATTATTGATGATGATGATGGTGATGATAATGATAATGATGATGATGATGATGATGATGATGATGATGATGATGATGATGATAATGATGATGATGATGATGATGATGACTAAACTTTTTGAAATTTTGCTTATTTTTATTCATAATAAAGATCATTAATATTCCACTTATTTTTCTAAAATTCATCCACTTGGTTAAAAAAAATCGAGCGTTTTACTAAAATAAATCTTACTTCATACAGGTTCTTCCAAACTATAGCGAAAAATCAATAAATATCTGTTTAACTACCAGATTTAAATTTTGTTTTATCTATTTACAATGATTCAAAAAAATCTTTAGGGTGTACGCTCATTTTTGCGATACACTGTATCAAGATGAACAAAAAGGTCCTATCTGTATTGATCGATTCTTTGCATCGAATTTCTCTTTCGTTAAAAACTCAGCAGCAAAAACGTTCCCTGTTGCCTTTAACGTTTCGGAGCTAGATACCATACTTTTTTTTATATAAGGATAGAATATGTACACACTTAGAAATACCTAATCTTACACGTGACGGAATCCATCTATCACATGAAGGATGAGACGTAAACAAACATGTCATGTAAAATTAAGTGCTCTGAGAATGAAAAGTTGGAAAGTACGTTTGATTGAGCTTAATTTCGCGTCTATTATGACTCAATTTTATGTCAACATTGACGCTCGTATATGTCAGTCTCAGACCATCTAAATTTACATTAATTTTCTAAGTGTGTATTTTGCCATATATCTTCGCAAAAAAAAACTATGAAAACTCATTTCAAGTGCGATTTTACACAGCTAAAAAAAGTAGTGTAAATTTCCGTTACTATGATGCACATAAATGGAGCGTCATATATCATACAAGTTTAGATTATAGATCATGTAAATTTATGAGACATGTCATGCAATATTCCATATATTGTATGCAACTGTCCACTTTCGTTTGCAACATTTCTTGCAAGCTGCTTGTTTACGTGAAAAGGAAGTTTACATGTATGAATGTTTGCATGCATGGATGTTTACATCGCCAGTAAAATTCAGAATTTTTTGGTGTGTACCCATAGGACCTAACTAGAACATTAGTGCCATATCTGGCACACTTACCCTAGCCAGAAATATTAGCATGAAAACGTCATACCAAACAAAATTTTATGGATTTATTTCAAATATTCTGGTTATATTAACTAATCAAACACATATAAAATTTAGTGAAATTGGTCATTCATGTAAAATAGTGAAATTGGTCATTGATGTAAACACACTTAGATTTATATCATAACAAATCGCGAAAATTTCAAAAGGTCCTATCCGCTTCGATCGCTTCTCTTAATCGACTGTTTTCTTTTGATGACTGGAAATATTTTTACGTTGTCGTGGTGAATCAAAGAGAAAATCGACGAAGAGAATCTGTTACACATGTTACACAATGCATTAGGTCCTAAGGAACTTTGACAGATTCTCTTCGTCGAGTATCTCTTTGAATCCGCACGGCCATGTTTGAACAGCTATTTTCAGTACATAGATCGATGAAAAAAAGCTATTACATATATAGCTTCAAATACGACAAACACGACAAGAAATTGTTCAGTATCCAAGTTATTAACGAAAAAGAAAGTCGATGAAGAGAATCGATCAAGTTAGTTAGTTACTTGTTCAGCTTGACTTAGGACCTAATTCATTGTTCGGCTTGAAGTCGGAAAAAATATACTTATACACATCGAGAAGGAAGCGATGGAGCTCAGTATGTGTACATCATCTTCGTCTGATTGCTCTTGGTTAACCAGTTCTCATCTTTCGCGGAGCAGAATTTTCCCATTGCAACAGCCAACAGTTAAGTAATCAAATAATTTCCCGAATATCCCGAAAATGAGGTATTTTGATAAATATTATGATTATGACATGCGAAACCTACCGCCTGGTGAAATATTCAATGTATGCTGCCGTTTGATCTCGTGAAACCACTCACTCTCAGAATTAGAATCCATGCTCTTTTTGTAATTTTGTTACAATATGTTTTCTCAATATATGTATACACAACTGATGTACATTGCGCTTAGCGTGTTTGGCTTCGTCAGCAAACGTTTCAAGTTAATCAATTATAACTTGCCGTTCTGCCCATCAGCTGATAACCCGTTAATCCATCATCGCTCAGCTGGACGGCTTTGGCCGCGTAATGAAACCGCGTCCGAGAAAAGGCTTATCAGTGGGGAATGCATGCATGGTGCCACTTTTTTAAATCACTGCCATCAGCAGAGACGGAAATGAAAAGCTATAAACACATTGAAGCTCTGCCACTGGACCTCATCGAAAAGTTTTAACATTGTGCACTTCCTTAAGCCTAATGAATAAAAGATTAGTGTGTGACTCGGCTTTAAAATGTATTCGCTTCATTCGTTTAACTTTTTGTGGTGATGGACATGCGTCGGGTTTTTTGGTCTCACCAGTAAAACGAGAACAGGAACTCACAAACACACGCACACGTTTAGAGTATCATCTAAAAATTGTGGGTCGATTGTTTGCCGAAGAGTGGCTTCCCGCAGGCGATAAAGATGGAAATATTGAACAAGGAAGAAGAGAAACACTAATTCCACATTCAAAACAAACAGAAAAAAATGCGTGTGTGATTTGCTGTTTTGTGTTGCTTTCTTTTTCGCTGTTTGTACGATAGCACGATTCCGGCCACCATTTGAAACCATATGAGCAAATCATGCTTAATTTTGTTTCGTGTGGCTGGTACAATAATGAAAAAAATAGTAACAATATTACATTTCTCGTTTGAATGTACTTAGTACATTTAGGAAGAAATTTTCTAGATAGACACATTGATGGTGGTAGGCTGCCACCGGAATTATTTTCGGATTAAATCCCGATTACGGGTTTCGGGCTGTTTTGTTGTCGAAGCCAATGTTAATCAATACGACGTTGAAACTCAACATTGTCCACACAGTTATTACGATAGGGTTCCGTAAAATCTATAAAAAATATTTTACTGTGTAAATGCTCATAGAGTACTAATTTCAAAGCAGACGTTAAGTTTCAGTGTTGCTAAGAGATAAACCAGCCTATGGCTAAAAATCTCTCAAATAAAGATTTAAAAAAAGGTAAGTTTCAGTTCAAGTATATAAAGCCAAGAAGATGGTGAGAAAGTAGAAGAATAATGCCGCGGGCACACTTGAATGACAAACTATGAGTATAAGTATTATTTTTATAATAAATTATAAGCACATCCATGGTCTCATGTATAGTTTATGTATAGTTGTTGTATAGTGCTCATAATTATTATACAAATAATATTCCTGCTTATAGTAGGTCAAATAGTGCATCCGCGGCATAAACCTTAGTAAATTTTCTCTCCAGCTATACTAAGGAAAAAGATCTAACATTGTTACATGTGTCCCTTAGGATATTTAAAATATGTATTACAAGTGGCATTAGGGATTACAAAGAAAACATATTTTTAATTAAACCTATTTTCACACTCAAAACAAATGACATGAACATCAAATGTGATTGAATTCTTATATCCTCTGCATGTTTTCTTACAATCAATGTAATGTCAGTTCTTGAAATGGGCTATACACAGAAAAAAAAAGTTGTTGAATATTACATTCAAACTGCTGCAACCAGGTCAATCCATCGGTTGTGTAATATAGCGTTGTACGATGTATATCGATTTTGCGAACAAAATTGCATCCATTGATGTAATATTGTATCTGCTTTTTGCTATTACATCCTTATTTCATACATCAGCTTGAATTATATTAATCGATATTACATTTTTTTGCTGTGTAGCGTACAAGCAAGTTTTTCTAGCATGGTACAATAATAAGCTACAAGTTGTGTGTGAAGCCTATGAAATCTAATATTTCCCAGTCGCTATATGATTAAAATTGTTTTAGCCAGTTTAGAAATAATAAATTAATATAACATCATGTCGAAAATCTCATGTAATTTTTATGGCGATAAAAATAAACAAATGCAGTAAAAGCAGACACCACGATTGAAATGCATCCGCTTTGATGTGATATTAAAACTATTTTTTTTTTGCTGTGCATTGTAGGAATGTGTTTCAATTTTCAATGCTGTTAATAAAGAAATAGAAAGTATAAAACTGAAACAAACCTGCTAAACACATATTACTGTTAATTTCCAGCTGTCCAGCTGTTGACCCAATCTTCGATTTTAAAGAGTATCAAACCAACGGCGCTATAGCCATTCGAATTCGGCGTTAACAACCATTTCAGCGCTCTCACTCTGCATATCGCATCATTTTTGTTTTGTTTGCCTATTTCGCACACTGTCCGTCACTTTATCCAACGTTGTATGAATAATTAATGAACTCACAAAGCTATACAAATATAGCATTCAGTCGTGATTAGCCTGCATATCCGAGTAAAATTTTACTAACACTTTGTAATTCTTTTGTCCAACTGATATTTGCTATTCTTTCCGCACTACACTTTGGTTAATCAATATGACTGAGAATAACACATTCTACTTAATCAAACACAGAGTAATTATGCTTCACGTATGCATTGCAGCGATTTTCAATTATGCGCTCTTATCGCAGCGTCAATACTTTCATGCGCTGTACCACCATGATAAAACACTTATGAAATCTTGCACCCTCCGAATCGCAGTAGCCCGAGAAATGGCACTTTTCTGGTTTCGTTCTCACAGTAAGCGCTCATGCCTCTGGACCGAGTGCTACCTGCAAGAATCGCGCAACACGCGCTACAGACAGACATAACAGTAGGCACCTGTCACCTAGGCTGATTGTGGTACAGTGGTTCCGGTGATCGTCTATCCGTGGGCCCGGACGTGCGACTTCCATTCACCAAGGGTTTTGTTTTTATTGTTCTCGGCAGCAATAATAAAACCAAAACAATCTCACTTCACCACGGGAGAAAATTTGCGGATGCTGCACAACTTTTGACCTAAGCAAATGACGACCTGTTGGTATGGCTTGTTGCACACTCCACCGCTATCGCTTATCACTGTTATGAACACGCACACACAAAAATATGTTGTATCGATCCAACCGCGCTCGTTTCCAAAACTGGATCAGGGAATAGGACACTCTCTCCTTGAGACACCGCGAATGCACAGCGGCCAAATGTGGCGCGATATGACCGATCTCGTACACTGTTGTCTGGGAACTAACCTCGCGCGCGAGCTCAAACACTTGCTTGTCGGGCAGCCACCACACTACAGTCAAACGGTCTGATGTTTATTTTTTTTTCTTCACTCCTTCGTCGTCACTTTTTCGTGTCCGGGGCACTCTGATTTTACTCATTTCCAGTTATATCGATGAGAGTGCAGCCAAGCTCCAGAAGCATACTCGCGCGATCGGTTCAAAGTGATACTATACCTTACCTGCTACTGCGATGGATCATGGCACTCAATCTCAGCCTCAGCGAGCCCAGCTAGCTCAGTCTCTTTTTGAGTAAAAATTAGAAAAAAAAATAGTGCATGCCGAGAGAAACGGCCTCTCATCAGGCGAGATAAGAGCGAACCGCATTCCGATAATGTTTGTTTACATTCTTATCATGATGGGAATGTTGCATGCTGGTTCCATGCTTTGCTCTCGGATGCGGCGCACGTGTTGTAGTGTGGGTGGCTTGACGTTGCTGGGCGCGAGAGAGAGAGAGACATAAACTACAGAGTTTTTGATGCCTGTTAGCGAGAGTCCAATTGATAGAGACTCTTTTCTCTAATGGTAAAATCTCATAAGCATCTGTCAGTCTGGGTATGATAAAATTTGTCATGCTATGCATTTTTTCCATTGGAATAATCTTAGGCACCACGGCGAAGAATAAGCGTGAATATGAATGTTGTGTGTTTTGACAGCAGAGAATCAAAGGTGTCGCATGAGCTACCTATAATTTTACTGTGATATTTTAATGAAATGGCTAATGCCATAATGAAGTTGAATTATAAAAATTAAACAGATAAATTCTCTTATGACACGTTGTTTTTTTTCTGAAGTACAGTACAATACTGTAGTGCTTAAATTTCACTTTTTGGTCTTTTCTCCGATACTGAATGGACAATCACTAAGGTTCAATGGGTTCTAGTTACGAAAAAAAAAAACCGATTGAATTAACACTCAAATCGATTCAACCATTTACAAAAGAAGAAAACATTTTCTGATCGAGCTGAGTTGATTGGTTTATTCCCCGAACCTTAGACGTAAAATTGGGCTCTCAAGTCATATTACATTCCTTCGGTACTATCTAAATATGCTATCTGGAATTCATTTTTGATTAGGTCATATGTACCATTTTTGAAAATTAGAGAAACGAGGTGTTTTGGTTTTTTAAATGAGATCGATAATTTTTATCAAAATTCTCGAGAATTAACATCTGAGTAGTACTTTTAAAATGTTACGCGAGAACTATCCTTTAACGCGACCTCTAAACATCAACGTACAAACTTCAAAATTTAGTATGTTTGAAAGCAAGAAAAAAAGTCCATGCTCGAAAAACAAAGAAACGACTGGAGGTTCTCAGAATTTTATGAAATTTTGCCCTCAGACAAAGTTTATAATTATATGAACAATAAAAAAAATTAAATTCGGGGTTCTAAATTTTCCCGGAAAATGTTTTTATAAGTTTTCCAATTTTCACGGACATTACGTACTCTGAAAATTCCTAACTCATAAACCAAGCATCCTCACCAACCAAGAACGTTGTGTAGTGAAATGATAAGGAAATTATCTCAGTTATCCATAAAAAATATAAACTGAAAAATAATTTCCACGAAAATTTTCACGCTGGAAAATCAGTAAAAACCATTCCCAGGTTAATTCAAAAATTTCTAATTTTTTTTGGTTCAACTTCCGCAATTCACATACTTTGAAAATCTATAACTCATGAACAAAGTATCGTTTGTTACATACGACCATTTAAGTAAAGTACTCCTACTATCTTTGTAAAAAAGGCATTCAATCAAATATTGATCCACCTCTGAGGATCATGAATTCGAGCATCACAATTATAATTATTATATAATAATATAAATAATTATTGTCAAATATCAGCCGGAGGCGAACCAGCCCAAGGCTGAAAACCTCCTTAATAAAGAAAACCTAACCTGTCAAATATCTCGTTTCCCGTAGGCAGGGATTTTTTAAAAGATGAATCTATGAAATATTATGAAATATTAAAATAAATAGAATGAGATTTACTCACTCGCCATACGCACTCCTCCAAACTATATCAAAATACGTCCGTCTCGTACATTCCTCCCCTATAAAATACTATACTTCATTGTCGGTTGGGCACATCACATATGTACCTATCTCACTCTCTATCGTACTGCAATAATTGTATGGCACCTTTTAGGTCGTAGTTTTTTTTTATGCCTGTTCATAATTTCGGTCCATCATACATACATAGCTCGACGAGTGCACCAAGGTGTGAAAATAGATAAACATCTGTCATGCGAAAAACGACAAAAGCAGGAAAAGCGAAATCGCTATAGAAATTATATAAATAGAAACTGGCTACATTATGCTTTGATACAGGAAAATTATAAAAACACGAAGGTAGTTTGGAGATAATTCCAAATGACGTTCAAATGTTCATAAAATATCATATTCGATTCCAGCAGAGAGGGAAATATCATATGAGATCAGATTTGCGAACCAAAAATTGTGAATGTTATGTAGTCAATTCCATTTAATTTCAGGTAACTTAAATTGCATCCGTCTAACAGCACCAACACAGCCAGTTCTTGAAGCATCAAAAAAATGACGAATATAATGTTGCAAGTTATGAATTGGGCTTATAGCCTTTAAGTACGGCCTATTGAGCAAATAAATCATTGTTCAGCAATAAATAATAATTTAGCTGAAACAAATAGTTCAATAGTTTTATTGATAAACTTTCCTAGGCAACATGTTTGCTTGCTATTCTGCGCTCGCTTGGCGATACCCAACAAGTTTTTCAATGAAAACATGAACAAGCAAATTTATTTAAAGGACTATTGTTGAAGGAACAAATTAACATCCGTTTATCAGCCTTAAATAGGGACTGAATGCCAATATTACAGCCATCTTCCTGAGAGGTGTGCATGTGATAGTATAATCATAATTGCCTAAACCAATTTTAAACGAAAACATATCCTTATGTTAGTCCTATACATGATAGCACACCGGATAAAAAATACTGAGTGAACCATAAAAAAAGATAAATATATTATAACCTATTCGAGATGAGGTTCACAATTCATATTATGGTAAATATATATTATAAGAGACATGATAATCGCTTTGATGGAAGCCGATTAATGCTCTACACTTCCACGAGAAACCACTGGGATGATGGATTTGGGTTTGCAGCAAAGTTCATTTCGGTAACTCGGCTTACAATCTCGAAATTAGAGATGAACTAGCCTATGGCTAAAAATCTCTCAAATAAATAATAAAAAAAAAATCTCGAAATTTTCATAATTAAAAATTAAATTCAAATTTTTCCACAGGATATTAGTCTCAATGCTGTTCTGTATGCCAACTTTGAAAAATAACGAAAAACTTATTTTGAATCTGATTTAGCCCACATGACCAATTAGGGGAGCACTTAGTGCCATAAATGGCACAGTCCCCTTAGTGCCCTGCTTACCCGTTGATGTGTTACAGAACAACTTGAAGAGATACGCGAGTCCGTTTCTTTGATCACTATTGAGTAAAATTGAATCCCATTGTTAGTTGATCTCGAGACTCTCTATAACGTCCAATTTTCATGGTGTAGACACGATTCGTAAAACCATGATGTCACAGACAAACAGACGAAACTCTTCATTGTGTATCTTCGTTCACGCATTTAACGGTTGATTTGAATATTATCAGTTCCGCAAACTACTCGCCGCAGCGCTGGCATCGGATCACTTTGACGTTTCTATACATTCTATAGAACTTTTATGCAAGCTTGTTTTCCGCGAGAAGCCTGATAGATGTCGCTACTGAGGTCCTATGTTTTGAGATACTATGTTTTCAAGAAAAACTTTTTAAAAGAGTTACGTCTGTTTGTCTGTGATGATGTCCTTTGTCATCAGTTGGCGGCCCACGGTGAACATGTGCTCTGCAACCTTTGATTTCAAATAATACGGCAGGCCTTTCCCAAGTAATATGCTGCACAGTAAGAACAGAAGCTGATATTTGATTGATATAAGGTGTACGAAGCTGATTAACACCAGGCTGAATATATAGTTGATTAGTAGTGCATAAAGCAAATTGTAACCCCATAATTCAACCTCAGTAAGTTAGCTGATTTAAAGACTGAACAAGACTTATTTAAGCTTAATACTACTCCACAAATCAACAATGCGCTACAAATATGTTGATAGCTTTTGTGTCACTTGTTGCATTTCCGACATTGTAGTTATTTTAAATTCACTGCCTACCTTTCTAATCTCAAGCAGCACCAACATTAGAGACAAAGGAAGATAAGCGTTTAAGGAATAGCTCCAGGTAAAAGTAGACTGTGCGACGTCGGAAATATTCACATTTGTATGCTTGTATTTTCACCTCTTTATATTGCACTTAAGTTTCAGCCCGTATTTCAAAAATATAATTCAATTATGGCACTAAAATAGCATAAATCATGCACTTGTGTCCACATTGTGTTTACTGCACTTGAAAATGAAAGGAATATTTTACTGTCATAATTTATTGTTTACAATTCTGCATTGCTGCATAATACTATTATTCAAATTAAATTTAATGTGCTTCAAATTAATGATCATACCTTTTGCAAACATATGCTTAAGTGGTCCAGTAAGTATAGTTGACGCCTGTGAATCAGCAACTGCCTGTTCGAATCCCAAAATGCAAAGGTAATTTTTAGACATATATATAATATATTATAAATATTTAAACCCAATTAGTCAGCAACATGGAAAGCAGTCTCATAAAAATATAAGATATATGAAGCCATTATTTTTTTTATAAAACTATAAGGCTGAACAAAGATTGGAAAAAACTGTTATTTAATGCCGGTCATGCAGTATTTCGGCTTGACTCTGGGCTGAATGGAGTGAATGAGCATTGTGTCAGCAAAAAAAATATGAAAATGATATGAAAGAAAAGTTAATCATACCGAGAAAAATTGGTTTTTGTTTTACTTTATTTTTAAGATTTTTAGCCATAGTCTAGTCACCTCGTCAAGAAAAATTGAAGTGGTATTAGCTACCAGGGCTCTTGTGGTGTCAGAAAGACGTGTCTCCGAGAAAACGAAAGAGTGGAGAATATTGTTAATATAATATATTTGATGACACTTAATTTATCTTTGATTGTTTGGTTGGCTTATAGTTAAGGTGATACGATCTGGATGCCCTAAACCCAACAACACAAAGGTTTTCGGTGAAATGGCGTTCAGTAAAATGGCATTCGGCCAAATTTTCCATAGATTTTTTTTTCACCCTTCCTATCCTGGCTGTAATTATCTACTACCCGAAAACATACAATAACAAAACTGCTTCCCAGTAAATATGGAGACGCAGCAAATGTGAAGAATCAAATTTCATGCCGGAAAACGCAAAAGTTTGCGAGATTAACTCCATAAATCAGCTGAATTGTAAATACATACTTCGGAAAATACACACCAAATACGTAAATGTGTACACGTTGAAACTAAAATACCCTAATAAAAATACTGTTTACACAAAAAATAAATTTTATTATGAATTGAATACACTCCAATACAAAAATACACAAAACTTAAAAATAAATAAATACGAAAAATACAAAATACACTTTTTCAAATCGGGTAGATGAATCGAAAACACTCAAGTTGACAGCCCCTTGCTAGAAAATTCAAAGTGGCAGTGCAAGCTAGCCATTTTGCCAATGTTTTTGTTTTTTTAATAGTCACTTTAACACTCTTGGGTTATTCGTGACTTGTCCGGGGGTGAGATTTGAACTCGTGACTTTGGCGTGAGAGGCATGGATGTTAACCATGATTGAATCCGTTGATGCGATGAGTCAAGCAATGCATACTTGTATCGCAGTGTTCCGATGCTTGTGGACTAACTGGTTAGGTACAAAGGCCCCGATCCCAGATTCTGTGGTTCGAATCCCGGTTGTAACTTTTTTTTTATATTTGTTATTTGCTACTTTTCGAAATCATTCGCCTACGGGAGCAAATTTTATAGCTTATCATTTAAATAGCATATTGAGGAAAGTAACTTTTATATAATAGCACCACTTTTAGTTTCTCCGTGTCGTTTTGTGTTTGCTTCAATGTGAATGTGTTTTCATAAAGCTGTGCAATCGTTCTTCTCAATGTGATATGCTGTAAAATTTGCTCATTACACTCAATGTGTGAGAAAACGTCAAGCCATTCTGCGTGATTCTGAGATAAACAACTGAATAATTTTGACGTAGAACTGCGTCTTTGTCGACTATACTAGGGTGTTAATCAACTTCAATTAGGAAAGGGGGCTGATTTCCAAAGATTTCCAAGAGCCTCACAGAGTTAGGTTCTTTTTGTTTTAGTTTGAATCAATTTCACAAAATAGTAATAAAACACTAGAGATGAACTAGCCTAAGGCTAAAAATCTCTTTAATAAAGAATTAAAAAAAAAAAAAAGTAATAAAACAAGTTTTCCCGTGCTTATCACGTAATTGCAATATTTATTGATAGATTCTTAAGTTTTAACAAACATGTTTCATAAACTCTGTGGTGTTTATCTTTAAAAGATATAAATTCATATTTTCTACTTACGATTAGATCTTAAATGCATAAATAAATCTGGTATGTTCTAATACAACTCTACAGCAATTGGCTTATTATTGTTTTATTTTGCTACAGATAGGGTTGATACATATATTATGTCACGCTCTAGGGGAGTCTAAGATTTTGTGACAAGCAATGCATTAGGTATAGGGAAAACGTCACGATAGAGGGGGGGGGGGTTAATTTATCCTCGATTTAGCGTGACATAATTAATGCATGGGCCCATAGAAGGAATTATTTTTAACATCAAAGTGCTTTCAGTAACTTGGAATTATTTACTGTTTAACATCCCTGTTTGATCATGAGATTGGCAAAACGGAAGACCTTCAACCAGCTGAAAACTCCGGAGGGTCCAATTCCCGGTGTGCTCTCAGCGCTCGATGCAACGCTATCTGCACTGGTCCCTGCCGTTGCATTACCATTGCTAGCTTCGGATACATCCTGCTTCACGGGTGACGATGCATTTGCATTAGTCTTATCAGCCGATATCTTTGGTGAAGTCATGCTAAATCTTTAACACTCTTTTGATGCACTCTCTTAGTTCTAAAGCTAGCGGTTCTCTTTCTCCTGGTTAGTGCGTTCGCTCCGATTCGCTCGGGATGTTCCTGTGATTATATAATAATAAAAAATACAAATTTTACTAATGTAGCAAATGCGACAAATCAATCAATATTTTTCCGTATCAAATGTTACACTTTTGATTCTATCGATTGCCCTGCAGTTTAACTGGCAAAACATTCACTCAAAATGAAACTAGCCCACACTTATCACATATAACTACTAAAATACGCTAACCGATACCCTCTCATATTAGGCCAAGATTCATTTCCTTGCCTTTATGCAATGGTTGTTTAGATAAGGAAAGTGATAATGAAGTTTTCCTTAACACTAATTGATTGAACACGATTTTTTAATAATTTTGTTTTTGATGTTGGTGTACCTTTTCTCGGCAGACTTTTTTTTTATGACGACAGGCAATCCACAATGAAGCAGAAAACTTTTCTGAATGAAGGAAGGAACTCTACTGTTTCTGCTAGATACGGGAGAAAATTTCTTCTCCCGTGTGAGTGAGTATAGTACTGTCCCCGAAGTTATCCGCGAAGGCAACGACGACGACGACGACGATGGTGACGAGGTCAAGGTTCGCTGAGCTAATGGTGCTGTTGATGTGAGTGCGAGAAACAGGTGTCGGTATGCTCCGGGATAAATATCGGAGCAAGATATGTTGCGCATGCGGGGCTGGGCTCGTGAGAATCCATTCCACTGAAAGATTGATTGAAGCTTTTGTTGAGAGAAATGCGTTTTGCGTTTGTTGTTTGGTTCATAAATAAAGTACAGCTGATTGAAGCACTTTGACCTTCGAACTAGTTTAATGCTGCTGTGATGAGGCATGGTCACCGTGTACCTTTCACTAGTGCGATCAGAATTTTATCCTTGAAACAAAATACATTATTACACACTTAGATTTTTAGCCGAGGTGGGCACCACCGACCTGCTCGATATTTTATTTTGCTGGATCTCAGAGAAAAACTTGCCGAGATTCAGCAAAATTCATGTATGTAAGCTGAGATCTCAGCAAATTTTTCACTGCCGTAATCTCAGCAAATTTTTCACTGAGATCCAGCAAAATAAAATGCCGAGCTGCGCGGTGTGCCCATCTCGACAAAAAATATCTAAGTGTGTAAACATTCTTATTTAGACAAATGAAAGAGATTTGCCGTGCTTAATGATATTAAGCACAAATAAGAAAGAAATTTCTGATCAAAGCACAAAACTGACATCTACCACCGTGTTCGCGGGAAATATCAAGGAGGGGAGGTGGCTGTCAAATACGAACAATCGTCGCCTACCTCGCATAACTGGTTCTAAACGTAAACAAGCCATAAGAAACCTACAGCGTTTGTTTACCTTCCCCTGCAGAAACAATCATCCATACAAATAAATTAAATTTTGTATGGACCGTGGATATTCGTCAACCTCCCTTCCCCCTTAATCTGCCAACTTCCCTTACTTGTTAATTCGCCAACCTACCTTCCCCCTAAAAACACGAAAGATTTCCATCCGGGTGGCTGCTTGTTTTTACATTGACCTGGGCCGTGGTCCAATTCCTATCGACAAGCTTGATGTTCTTGTTGAGGCTTTTCTCTCAGCTCCACTGCGACTACTGTCTCTACTGCGATATCTTTCCTGGTTCTAATCCAGCATTTGCTTTCATTTCCGCCCCTAGATAGTGTATCGTCGATTCACCTTCACTTATATTGCTGAAAATCTGTTAATATCGACTTCTGATCTGTTGGTTTCAGTTTATCTATATTATGCCATATATATCGGAAAATTTTATATCGGCTTTTATATGGATCACTACACGGATAGAAATCTCCTTATACCTTTTGGCAAATTTCCATTGCTGATTATTCATAAAATGTATAAGTCAACTAATAAGCAGACGCCTTGCAAAAAGTTAATAAAGATCATGTGTCAAATTAAATGTATAAGCGGTCGCACACACGATGGAAAATGAACAGGTGGGCAGGAACTCACAGTCTCCCAGTGTTGGTGAGTTCTTTGCCGTTAATGTTCACGAAAAGTTCACTATTTTGCTATACAGAAATTCAAAACAAAAATTTTAATCTGCGGATTTGAACAGTTTTTGACCTGTTTCATACTACCGGAAGGTGTATGCTGGTCACAAATGCCGTGCCAAACTGATTTCCTACTCAATTAATCAATCTTTGATGTGAAATTCGCTAATAAACACGAGGCGCATTTCGTATAGCAAACATGCCATAAAAAAATGGGCATGGTTCATTTATGTAAACAAACTAACACTTCTTCCGACTGTTACACCTATGTATTAGTCGTCTCGGGTCGCACATACCTTTTATGCATTCTAATAGGGCCTATGTGGTTTGTCTTATGGAATGTATAAGGCTGATGCTTTGGCAAAAATGTATAAGTGAAACACATGAATTAAATAATTGATTTTCGTGATCATCGTGTCGCGTCGCGTTTCGCGACCAGGGTAGACGCGACTCACGCAAGGAATAATACTAAATAATAAGATCCTTTTGAATTGGTCGTGTCGCGTCGCGAATCGCGTCTACCCTGGCCGTACCCTTATACAACACCAAGTAGTATGTTCAATGTTGCGGTTGAATAAATTATCCAAATTTGTGTGAACAAAGCCTGAACAGAAGTTATTATGAAAAATAATACAATGCAGTTGAATCAAATCGTCAAGAAGTCGTTTCTTCAATAGGTGATTGTTGTTTGTACATCTAATCGACGAAAAATGAGCAATGCTGCTAATAACGGCAAGCATAGAGCCATATGGCCAACTTAGAACCGGTTCTGGATATTCCTGATTATGGTTCCGTATTGTTAAATTTTACACTGATAAAATTTCAAAAATTGTTTTTATGTGCCCCACACATGAATTTTTGCAATGTGATCAACAAATGATCAATGATCAACAACTATCTGGCCGTACCCTAAGGCATGTCGAGAAGGTATTATTTGTCTTTCATGAGTTGTAACAGAGCTTATTCGATAAAAATTTTGAGTATTCAGCAGATCCGAAGGAAGACGTGATCAGAGATGTTATGCCTCAGAACATCCCGGCGGCGCCGACTGGGATTGAACCCAGGCCTGCTGGGGTGAAAGGCAATCACGCTAACCACTACACCACCGGCACCGCTAACATCATTGCTCTTAAACAGCAATGATTTATACGATGGTATACGCTAAATTCTCATGAGATATAACGTTTAATTAGACACTATTACACATTTATTAAACGATAATTCAACAACGGGAGAATCAACCCGAAATAAAACAAGAACAGGAGACCCGGGGTGTTTCTCGTTAGTTATTGTTTTCATTATTTTTGTCCAAGCGCGCACCCTCACAGATTAGAAAATTTATTACATACAATACATTACATGCAGATGTCGTTGCATGGGACTCGAACCATGCACCTTCCGATCACTAGCCGCTAGCGTTGCCATCTGAGCTATTCTAGAATACATCATATGGGCAGCTAAATAATCAATAAAAGCTTGCTTGAAACTGTGGGAATAATTAATTCACTCGCCGATGTTTTACATGAGATCAATGTTACCTCTTCATCTCTCCAATTTCCATGGCTATTGTTTTCACTAGATCTAGATGCCGTTTATCTTAAGTAACAGCGAAGAGAAACCCGTGAAAAGCGTACGTTCGTCGTTTCGCTTTCTCATTATTAAAGTAAATAAATCGAACTGTTTGTTGCTAAGATGATTTCGGTAGTCCTTAAATGATGAATGGGCTGCACATAAGGAGACGTGATTGATAATTATCCCGAATATCCTGGTAAATACACTTTGACTTAAGTAACATTAGGGGGCCACCAAACTACGTATAATAACTTTTAACTCAAAAACCAGTATTTTTTAGTATATTAGCTAGCGATCTGCTTTGTATGATTAAAGCCCTGCTTAATATGTTAAACATTGCTATCACTATGAGATTCATATGCGTAGCCAGAGGGGGGCAGCAACACAAAGGCTTTCGGTGAAATGGCGTTCGGTGAAATGGCGTTCGGTGAAATGGCGTTCGGTGAAATGGCGTTCGGTGAAATGGCGTTCGGTGAAATGGCGTTCGGTGAAATGGAAATTTTCCCCATAGTAATTTTTTTTTTCGCCCCTCCCTAGCTCGAAACCTGGCTACGCTCTTGATGAGATTATATCAGTGCTAACATTTGAAAACGGCACAAAAGCCATTTGTAAACAAATGGTTTGTGGGCCCTTTACTCACTACTTGAAGTACACCCACGCGACACAACAGCAACATCGGGTAGGGGAAATTTTCCCCTTCCTGACGATGCTGTTGGTTTGCGTGGGCGTTTTCCGGGTAGCGAGTAAAGGGCCCACAAACCATTTGTTTACAAATGGCTTTTGCGCCGTTTTCAAATGTTAGCACTGATATGTGTTTAATTGGGAATAGGAATAACTTTTCGGTCATCAAAACAAAACTTTATTTTTCTCGGATCGGTGCGAATGTTACTTTCGACATAATGAAAATTTGCTCTAGATGTATGAAAAAATACAAAATACACACGGTAAGAAAAAAGTTCCCAATGGCCAGTTCATGTTTACCCATTTTTGACTAGTTTGTCTCCTTTTCTCTTTCTGATGTTGTCAAAAACGGAGGGACAAAATCACCCAACAGGGGTAGTAAAGTGTGGGAGCCCAGCGTTGAGTATAATCATTTTTACGTACATCTGGGTACAACTAACTTACTTTTGGGTAGAAATCTAGCCATTTGTAGAATAGTTCAATAATTTAGATTATCATTCGGGGCCCATGCATTTATTATGTCACGCAAAATGAAGCAAAAAATTACCCCCTCAACCCTATCGTGACGTTTTTCCTATACCTAATGCATTGCTTGTCACAAAATCTTAGACACCCTCCCCCCTCCCCCCTTAGAGCGTGACATAATATATGCATCAACCCTCGTTTATGGTATTATTTATTAGGGAAACTTAATCGCAATCATTTAAATCTCAAAAATTTAATTTCAACCGCCATCTCAATACTTCTCACGCGTTTCCTCGTGAAGCGCTCGTGTTTATTTACATTGCTCGATTGGAACCGCGTTTGACGGTTCGATTCGAACTTTTGGCATCAGTCTTCGCGCGTCTCTTATTAAAAATCGTCTCTGGCTTTACCTACTTTTGGGTTCCTGCATAGTGCCGAGAGGAGTGAAAAGAACTTACTTTAGGGTACACGCTATTTCAAAACTACCCAAATTTGGGTAGAATCCACCCAGATCGGTCAAAACTGAACCTACCCAAAAATGGGTAAACTGTGTTGGGAGTGACAAGTTGACAAATGAACAAGTCGATCGGATCATGTCGATGTTGTTCATTTGTCAACTTGTCACTCCCACCACAGCTTACCCATTTTTGGATAGGTTCAGTTTTGACCGATCTGGGTGGATTCCACCCAAATTTTAGTAGTTTTGAATAAGCGTGTACATCTTGGGCTTTTACGAGCTACCTCTATGCTTTACGGGCTAACCAAAAAATTTAACATCTCTTCTTTCGGTCTCGATCTTTTTTATAGCTCCTGTTAGGTTTTTTTTGACAACCATTTTGGACGATTTCGCATTTTGGCACCACTCAATTACAAACCTTTTGTTAACATATGCTGATGGGCCCTTTTCTATTGTTGCTCCAGATATGGAAAATTAAAACTTCGTCGGTGGCAAAACATCGCTATTTAAAAACTACCCTAATTTGGGTACAATCCACCCACATCGGTCAAAACTGAACATATAAAAAAATTGGTAAACTGTGTTGGGAGCGAGGTTGGGAGTGACAAGTTGACAAATGGACAACATCGAGATGAATCCGATCGATTTTGTTCATTTGTTAACTTGTCACTCCCAACACAGTTTACCCATTTTTGGGTAGGTTCAGTTTTGACCGATCTGCGTGGATTCTACCCAAATTTGAGTAGTTTTGAAATTGCGTGCATAATATTTACTTTGATCATAAAAACTTTTTTCACATGGGCTCTCGGACTTTTCGTTGACAGATCTGTCAGTTCACATCAACGTGCCATGTGCCATCGATTTTTTAGCAATCTTGCGAAACTTCTAAACGCGTTGTGCTTGAAGTAAAGTCTTGGTGGATAGACGTGTTCGACCTTTCGGTGCGCTGTGTTCTCATTATTCCTGTGAAGGTAGGTACATTTATTACTTTATGTAATTATTTATAGCGCGAAGAAAAGTACATTGGACAAAGGAATACCAATTTTGTTTTGGTTTTCCACTTGGTTGGTGGCGTGGATTTTTCATCTTCCTCTCGTGTCTGGTGGTTGCCAATCTCAGCAGGGCGAGATTAATTTTAATTATAAAAAAAAATCGGACCGAAACCTTTACTGTTACGAAACGAAGAAGAAAATTTAAGTGTGCCTAATTTTGTGCTGGAAGTATTCAGTGAACTCCAATTGGGATTATTTTTCGAGAAGTGTCCTTGTTATATGTGAGTAAAATTCCTGCTAGGTTACGTAATGAAAAGATGCTCGACCTTGCTGCTTCTCGATTTTTCCTATTCCGGATTTAAATTCAGTGTCACGAAATCAAAAATTTAGAAAGATTGAGGGTCAAAATACGTCAGCTGATAGGAGGCAAAACCCCGCTCAGACCAACTGTATGCTAATACTAATGATAAAGACGATGAATTACATCAGATCAGACGTTTGTTACGTCACAAACGTGAAGGAGGTTGACCTTCAATATCTTCATACGTCAGTGCGATATTTGGGCGTCCATTATCAGTGCAGTACTGATTAATACACTTAAGTGAAATTGCATAACATGTAACAAGCAAAAATCGATCACGTGATTCATTCTAACTTTATTTCATTGTTTTCTCTTTCAGTTCCAATAACCTTAATTCGACATGGGTGTACCAGCTGGTGATGTTGAGAAGGGAAAGAAGCTGTTCGTCCAGCGATGCTCGCAGTGTCACACTGTCGAAGCTGGCGGCAAGCACAAGGTCGGCCCAAACCTGCACGGAATCTTCGGTCGCAAAACTGGCCAGGCAGCTGGATTCTCCTACACAGATGCCAACAAGGCTAAGGGAATCACCTGGAATGAGGACACTCTCTTCGAGTACCTAGAAAACCCGAAGAAGTACATCCCCGGCACCAAGATGATCTTCGCTGGTTTGAAGAAGCCCAACGAACGCGCCGATCTCATCGCTTACCTGAAGTCGTCTACCGCCTAAAAACGCCATAGATCGTTTATCTACAAAAATATCTAATTCACAATAGCAACAACACTGCTCGGACTTAAAACAACATCAACCAAATCACTGAATAGATACGAAGAAAAAGAGAGTTCAAGCCAACCCATTAGGACAATTTAAAAAAAATCTAATTTTAATTTTATTTATATATTAGATTAAAGAAAAAACAGCTCAGTTGTTTCGCAAATTGTATTGATCGTGATGCAACAATAAAAACATGTGGAACACAGTTCGGTGGATTGATCCTCCTTAATTAAGGAGGAGCTTCCACGTGTAGTATTATGAAAGCCCAAATATTACGAGTATGTTATCGAAAGAAGAAAGGAAGGTCGCACTAGGACTATATTTGTTTTACTCTTTCAATTCAAATACCGATTTTTTTCTTGATTCACAATGGGATTGGATTGATGAAATTCGAATGCATTGTTTGGTCTGCATACTAACTGTCAGTAATTATAAAGGAACTCAAACTACCGAACCACCGGGAATTAGAAATTGAATAGTGAACGGTAAACATTTCAAAATTTTTATGTAATTTGAAATTAAAACAGTAATTGGAGATGAAGGAAATAAAATTCAAGTGAACAATGGTCCTCCAAAGGCCAAAAACAAAATAGTTTTAATCAAACTGAAAAGTTCATGGATTATTCTTCAAGAATCCTAGAGATGAACACTAGCCTATGGCTAAAAATCTCTCAAATAGACTAAGGCTGAAAGCCTCCTAAATAAAGCTAAATTAATTAACTCTCAAATAGAGAAAAAAATCTTCAAGAATCCCTTGACGTTCTAATGCGAGGCTAGCTGCTTTGGGCTTGAACTTGTTATGTAGCTGGATGAAGGGGTGAATGGATTTGCTTCTAGGACGCTTACTGCTACTAAGCGCAGATTAAAAAGGAATTGCTGGCGAAATGTTTTGCGTGCGTTCGCTTTTGCTTTAATTAACGTATTCCGCAAACCGTTGTTATCAGCACCTAAATGGTTGCAGCACATGTTCCTAAATTTATTTATTTTTCTCTATTTAGGAGATTTTTAGCCGCAAGCTAAATGTTTCTAAATTTGCATCGATACAATATGTGGTTTTCGAATATCAGCATTGGTTATCTAACGATTTAATTTCCCGAATAGAAATTGTAATGTAGGAAACATCAGCGGACATCTTCAATACATTGTTTTTAGTTTTCGTTTAGATCTATAAGTACTGCCGCTCTTCGCATGTCGGTCCCATAGTCGTTTTTGTCAAAACTAAGTTTTTCAAAGCAAATGTTTTCATAATTCGGAATTAACTCAACAACTTTGTTCTGAAAAATTTACTAAGGCAGCCAAATTGGTTGTCCCATCACATAAGAACCAATACTACGAATCAAACTTACAATGCGATTTTTTCGGCTTGCTGTTTTTCGCTATGGGACGGAGATGCGGCAGAATAGATTTCAACTTTTCTAACCAAATTTATAAAGAAATACTTTATTCGTAAAATTTAAGAATTTTAAAATTATTCTCCCATTCCTAGCCGTGCAAAATTATGAAACCATCACCATTTTAGTAATTCTCCTATTTGTCACAAGCGGCGGTTTATGTTATCGTTAAATCGCCAATCATTCGTTTACATATATCGGTGTTTCGATTTATTTACTTATATTGCGCGTTTCACACCAAATTGGACTAATAAGCGCGTTTTCACTTATTAAAAAGTGTGATAAAACTGCAAGTTTACGTCTAATCGTCTTGGTGTCTTCGGTGCACTTATTCCTTATGATGCAAGCAATAAGTGCTCCGAAGACGTGCACTTTTATCACACTTTTTGCATTTTTGGGACAGTCCAGTTTCAGATGCAATCAGCAATACAGACTACAGAGTTACATAGATGTACTCTAATAAAAAACATAAACGAACGATAACCTAAAACATTGAACTATTCCTCAAATGGTTTGGATGATATCCCGAACAGTAAATTACACATAAATTTTAATTATGGTAACTCTAAGACTAGTAGGTCCCGAAGAAACGTGCACAACTTTTTTGATCAGCTCTGGAACTAAACGGCGCCGGTGGTGTAGTGGTAAGCGTGATTACCTCTCACCCCAGCAGGCCTGGGTTCAATCCCAGTCGGCGCCGCCGGGATGTTTTTTTTTTTTTTTTTATATATCTTTATTAAGGAGACTTTCAGCCGTTGGCTGGCTCGTCTCCGACTATCCGCCGGGATGTTCTGAGGCATAACATCTCTGATCACGCCTTCCTTCGGATGGGAAGTAAAGCCGTTGGTCACCGGTTCATGAGTTGATGGGTCGATAGGTAGGGTCCAGGTGTGGGAGCTGCCTTCCTGGCACGTCGGTAGCATTGGTGCTCAGCACGGAAAACAAGATCGACGGAAAAAACAAACCAAAGGAAAAAAAAAAACCCCGGAAACTATCTTCGGTCCCAAGCTAATCGATGCACCCCTCGAAACATAGAAAAATCCTGAAAATCCACTAACCCCGCTTTTTATCTGTCAAACTTTCATAGCGAATCAAAACAAACATAGTGTAGTACTAGAATTTCGACTAGAATGGGGTCGCTTATAGCACAAACGAAGTGACAGACGGAGCGGCTCGAAAACTTAAGTGACGCACCTGCTAATGCAATGTTTCAGTTTACCACATGGCAACACCACTACTACTGGATTGTGCCACATGGCAACACTACTAATGGATTGTACCACAAGGTACCACATGGCAACACTAAATGTACTAGAATGTTTTGGTTCTATCTCTTTCACTCTACTCTAAACTGAAATGCATAAAAAAAAATGACAAAATGAATCACTCTTTGCACACTGTCAAAGATCATATTGCACACAAAATCAACTATGTTCAAATCAAAACAAAAATACTAGCCCATCTAGTGGCTGATGGCACAAGCTTCTAAGAAAATTCTATTACAGCGAACCACATTATTTTAATTGATTTCTTCGCCAGTTAGTCGTCTGTCACTTCGTTTGTGGTATAAGCATAGAGGTAACTCTAAGACTAGAAGGTCCCGAAATAACGTGCTCAAATTTTTGGCTCAGCTCTGGTACTCTCTTCGGTCCCAAGCTAATCGATTCACCCCTCGAAACATAGGAAAAACGAATAACCCCTCATTTCATCTGTCAAACTTTCATAGCGAATCAAAACAAACATTGCGTAGTACTAGAATTTCGACTAGAATGGGATACGTTAATCGTTTGCTTGGGACCAATAGGCTAGTCAAGTAGTGAGCCAATTTAAAATCGTTAGTTTCGTATTGATTGTTGGTATAAGCATAGAGGTAACTCTAAGACCACTGGGTCCCGAAGAAAATCATTATTATTTTTGGCTCACTCAGTACCAGAACAACGGTCCCAAGCAGTCCCAAGCTATTTCACTCACCCCTGCATGTTCTGCATGAATCCACACACCCCTGATGTTATCTGTCAAACTTTCATAGCGAATCAAAACAAACATAGTGTAGTAATAGAATTTCAACTAGAATAGGGTACGTTAATCGTTTGCTTGGGACCAATAGGCTACTAAAGTGGTGAGCCAATTTAAAATCGTTAGTTTCGTATTGATTGTTGGTATAAGGCTGATGTTTTGGCAAAAATGTATAAGTGAAACACATGAATAAAGTAATTGATTTTCGTTTCATGTATGTCTACACCTAAAAATGTGAAAAGAAATTATTTTTTTTCTATATTATAGGGTTAACTACCCCATTTCCGGCCTATTAAGCATAACCCGCACTTAGCCTTTCATAATCTAGCGCAGTTTAGCGCCAAACGGAATGTTATTATAACGGATGGCTTCCAAATTTATATACCTTTCTGTACGTACCATAATATTTGATAAAAAGAAACCAATCGTTGAGATATTATCAACACTTCTTCTTGACGCCAAACTTGGCCTACGGATTTTAAACTCGGCCTAACGCATTGAAACGCAATTGAAGCCTATTAAGCATAACCCGAGCCTTTGACTTATCAAATGATGCTCGAAAACTTGAAGGTTGTCATTTTATAAAGAGCTAAAAATGGTTTGGAGATGATAAATACATAGTTCCATAAAAGTAAACATAGTGTATTATCAATAGTAAAAAAAAAAAGAAAAGTGAAAATTACTAATTTCATCATCTTTTCTGGGGAATGGTAAATTCTTGGGAATGCTTTTCTGGGGAATGTTTTTCTGGGGAATGGTTTTCTAGGGAATGGTTTTCTGGGGAATGTTATAGAACCGTTACAAACGATACTCCTTTAGCTCAGTCGGTAAAGGTGCAGCTACAAAGCAAGTCTATGCTGGAGGCGACTGAGTTCGTTTTTCCGTCCGGACTATTAATTTTTCAGATTGGTAAATTTCTCTACTTCTTTGGGCATAGGATGGTACAGGCATAGAAAGCTCTCAATTAAAATGTGAAAGTACTTCAAAGAACACTAAGTTGAGAGCAGGCAAAAATCTAATATGCTATAAGCATTAAGCTTGAAATGCCATGTAGGAGTATATAAATGGTATTTTTAGGCAATGAATACAGTTTTTTTTGTCGCGGATTAGTTCCCCATATTCTGCGAGTCACGTGACTCTCTCTCACCGGTGAGGTGACAATAGTCACCTCGTGTGAGGTGACTCTCCATTTGATTTGCATGGAGAGTCACCTCACACGAGGTGACAATTGTCACCTCACCGGTGAGAGAGAGTCACGTGACTCGCAGAATAAGGGGGGGGTGAGGTGACAATTGTCACCTCGTGTGACTATCCACGCAAACAAATGTAGAGTCACCTCACACGAGGTGACTATTGTCACCTCACCGGTGAGAGAGAGTCACGTGACTCGCAGAATAGGGGGGCTTGTAACAGCCCTGCGATGGAGATTCCGTAGACGGATCCCGATGTGCTTTCCGTAGACGGATCCCGATGTGGTTTCCGTAGACGGAATCCGATGATGGATTCCAATGGGGAATCCGAAGCCGGTCCCAATGGAGAATCTCAAGCCGGATCCCGATAGAGTCCGAAGCCAGATTCCGATACCGTGTGTGATGCTGGATCCCGATAGTCAAAAGCCAGATCCCGATATGGAGTCCAAAGCTGGATCCCAATAGGGAGTTCTTCGAAACTTCTTGGGAAGTTCTTGGAACTTCTTTGGAAGCTCCAATGAAAAAATAACATACCCGAACGATAACCCAAATGATACAATCACAGTAATTACCCGATTTTGTCAGCCGCAATAGACTTTTTTTTTCAATAATTTCACATAACCTAATTCTAAATCTTTCTCATTCATCTTCAAGGTGCATGCTTAAGGTATAC